AGGTTTACTTTCTAGGCTTCTGTGTCCTAATGCAGAACCCTCTCCCTGTGAGCATGATCTGCAGGATCTGAGGTCTCTCCTGTGCACCTCACTCTCTGCCTTGCCATACTCTTCAAGCTGTGCAAACTCCTCCCTCTCATCCTAAGCAGCCACTTTCAGGAAAGGAATAGCATTCATGTCCTCTGCAGGAATCCACCCAGCTTTTTGCTTTTTAAAAGGAGAATAATGAAAAATGGACAGAAAATCTATAAAAGACACATCACAGTAATGAAAGGAGGACTTTGATTTGAAGCTCAGTTTTCTGTCTGATTTTAATGGCCAGCTCTGGAGAATCAGTCATTGTTTCAAAAATCACATATGGTTATAATCTGATAACATTACGAACGGTAAAAGATCCTGCAAGCAGAAATAGCTATTCTATGGTGCCTGGTGTCCTCAGCAAACCTGAGGACACCTATGTCCTCCTTAGGCATGTTTGTGACCTCACTGACACCATGGACTAGAGAGCTTGAGCACTTGCAGTTAGCTGGAATTTGATAAAGCACGGATGGTCCTTGGTTGGAAGTTTGATCTGTAGGGTTATTAGGAGTAAACAGCAGGAAGCATTCTCTTTAGAATGAGAGAAGACTGGTTTATACAGGCTCACCTCTTACTTGCTGAGGCACTTAAAAGTGAATGAATCCAGTGGCTTAAGGGCTTGCGCGAGAGATCTCATGATTTAGCCCTGTAAAGGCTGCCACAGTAAAATTCCATTGCAACATTAAAGTCACCCCCTGCAACTTTTTCAGAGTCTCACTGTGCATGTTTCCTCCTCCTCTGCACAGCCTGGTGTTAGCTACAGAACATCCATCCAAGCTAAGCTGAAGTCACTGTCAGCTGTGCTCTTAACACTTAGTGTTCTTAGAAGTTTCAATATCTGGCTGTAGGAAGCTTGGACTTGTACAGCCAACAGCGGTGGTTAGTTTTGACTTCATCTCATGTCTGGTAACACTACATCCATAAAACGAGGGTAAAATGACTTCCTCCCTGCAGAGGAGCATTGTGACAACAAATTAATAAATAGTTGTGAAGCATTCATCTGTTACAGTACTGAGCACTGGTGGAAATCTCCTGAGGAAATTAGTTCTGTCATCAGGACAGGGTTTAAGTAGCATGCAGTGGATATGGCAGGAGACCTTGAGCATTAAACGGTGAAGGTGATATAAAATAACTGTGCACATGAATTAAGTCCCCTTGTCTTTGTGCTGAAGGAGGCAGGAGTTCTCTAAGAGACTGCAAGTGTGCTTGTGAAACCAAAGACTGTTTAAATGGCACTGTGCTGGGTGCACCTCATAGAAACCTCACTTTTCCACCGTTTCACCAGTGATTACATCTTTGAGACCTGACTGCCTTAGGGGAAGACCTTGCACAGAAGAAGGTAAACTCTGTAGGACAACTGTCAGAGTATCTAATGTTCCTAGGGTGGTATGACCATAGAACCAAGGCTTGATTTTCACAGACCTGTGCAGGATCTTTGCACATTGAATGATTTGAGTATTGTGCTCCTCAAACTCACCTTCACTACCAAACTACAGTATTGGCCAGTGTCAGCAGCATACTACATTACTTCATATACAGTATTTACCAGCCATCAAAGAGAACAATTTTCAGTAAGATACAATTTGAATATGTGATCACTCAATTAAGTTCTGATTCAGACCACTGACAATCTTGGGGGCCATCACGAGTCCTTAGCTCCCAAAGTAAAAGTTTCCTGTTAAGTTAGGCTCTCCTGTGGACATTTTCTATGATCCAGTCGTATGATATGCAGTTCAGTTCCTACTGCAAACAGTAGAAAACCATTTTTGTAAACAAAAAAATCATATTAGAACTGTATTCTTGATCTGGCAGTTCCTCAGTTTCCCCATCTGTGGGGCAGGAATAAGCAGGCAATATTTAACGGCAGCAAAGAGCTTTGAGATCCTTGGATGAAAGAGTCTGAAATCCACAGTTATTCTTGGTCTTGTGACAGACTGAATTTCACTTGCACGCCATTATTTTGAGAAGTGTGTTAGGTTATTTGCCTGTCCACGCTAACAATGACGATAAATCACGCTCCACACTTCACTATGAGAATGAAGTGTTATTTACAGGTTATAGTGTGGATAAGGCAGAAGTACTGTTCCCATCACTACAGTAAAGGATCTGTCAGCACTTTCATTACCATGCTTTAACTCCAGTGGTTTGCAAGCCCATTTTGATTACTGTTACCAACAGACTGCTATTTTCCAGCTTTATTAATGTTAAATAAATAAATCATGGAAGGTAAAATTGCTTTTGTTCTCCCATAACTAAAATTGGCTTGAAGTTGAAAGAATGAAATTTGGAAAACACTTCAAGTTGTCCGACAGAGAGGGATAAAGAAGATAAAGGATGGGCCACTTCACATGCTTACACTGTAATCTCATGATCATGAATCTAGATTTGTATTGACATGATGTTATACAGGAAAAAACTAATAATCCTGTGGAGCTATTCCAATTGCTCCAGTGCATAGTATCATTTTTTAAAACTGCTTAAATACATATTTACATTGTGTCTGGGTGGTCCTTGGGTTAGAGAATATGCTTTCAGTAACTTTCCATCAAAAATAATTTTTTTATTTTTAATACAAAAGGGGAAATTAAAGACAAAAACCCATGTTATTTCAACATTCAGGTTTCAACAATAATGAAATTCAAATTTAAGCTTGACACAGCATCTGAACTCCTTCAACAATGTATTTTCAAGTAATGCCAATATTGGGATGAGTTAAGAAGAATAAATCAACCCTAATTGAAAACTCCTAAGTTATGCTTCATTCCTGAAAAATGTGTGTGTGTGAAGGATGTACCCCTTTTGTGTTTTTTGTGGGGTGTTTTTTTTTTTTTTTTGGAAAAAGAACTTAGGAGCTTAAAACTGTGAATTTTACTTGATTGTGTACTGGCTTTGAATTTTGGAAAGGGCTTGTGGGATGTATTCAAGGATCCTAAGGTCAGCAAGTAACACAGCCCATCTCAGTTGCCTACCCCAGGAAGGGGACTCACTACTCCATGATAAGACTGATGGCAGAAGGACAACAGCCTGGATTCCCAGAGCTCCTGAATGCTGATTTTGTTCAGTGTGACTGAGGAAAATGCTCTCTCTCACTTTGAGAAGGCCTCACCTTCTGTGAGGAGGAATGGGGTAGGACAACCACACATACTGTTCTTGTCATGTCTCTGACTGTCTTTCCAGATGCAATGCCCGTAGTGGCTCATGCCATGTACCTCTGACAGGCAGTATCTGGCTGTTTGCTTGAATTTCACTGTGTGTTAAGGTCTTTAGAAAGCCATCAATGTTCACTTAAAAGGCCGCAGGGGGACAGCAAGGAGGCAAGTTGCCTGATTGCCTTGTTTTAGCTGCTTCACTGAATAAATAAAACTTTGTGAGAGAAAGGTGAGAAGAGGGAAATGGAGAAGGAGAAGGAGAGGGGAGAAAGAAAAGAAAAATAGGAGGGAAAGGGAAAGGAGAGGAGAAGGAAAGGGAGTGCTGCTGAGAAATGGGGTGACACAACCCCTAGGCCCCTTTTTTTGTCGGAGCTGAGGGAAAAGAAGTGGATAAAACATTGGCAGTGAAATGTCTGAAGTGGCAAGATAGCTTCAGAGTTTTAAAATCCATCTTGACTTTAGCAGTCTTTATGCTAGATGCTCTTTTCTGAAAATATGCTTAACTGCTGGCCAAACTGAATAATGACAAATTAGTCCCCAGAGTAACAGAAACAGAAGGACAGATCACGTGTGGACAGAAATCCCCTTTTTCTCCCAGCGCTGACCAATACTCCCAAACCAGTAATCATTTTGGGAGGAAACAGTTGCTTCATGCCAACACTATGATCTAGAGGTCATGCTTTCTTGCTTAAGACACATATCTGTGATAAATCCCCTGTTTCTCACAGTGTTCCTGTCCCACAGCCCTCTCTGTGAAGGATCAAAGGATAGGCAATCATGAACCCTGTAAAGTATGGCACATGCTCCTGGGTAGATAGATGCTCAGCTTGTGGAAGTGCAGCCATTCCGCCAGAACAGTGAGACCCTTCATTCTCTGTATTTCACCTGTAACTTACTTCATGGTCCCTCTTCTACTCCCAATTCCCCTAAGAGTGCGCCAGGGCACGTTCACCCCCGATTCCCACAGATGGGGTTGCAGACCTGGCAGCACAGTGAATATTCAGCTCGGACAGCGCAATGCTGAGGTCTGTGCCTGCCCCTGTGCCTTCATCCACATCTTCCGCTGTGAGGAGAGAGCAGGCCTAAGGCAAAAGGACATCAGGGTGTGAAACCTGGCAGCTTCTGGTGTGTCCTTCTCGGAGCAGAGATACCGTTTAGGCCCAAAGTGCTGGGAAGCCAAAAGGACTCTGAGCTCATACAGCCACACTGGCAAAGAGGGTTTTGTGCAAATACAGAGAAACCCACCTAATAATCCTGGTGGAATGCCCAGGTTCCAGGTCAGCTTCTAAACAATTATTTTTTTTAAGCTTCCTTTTGAAACTGTGTAAATATTACACTAAAGATTTAGGACACTTGGGATGTCTGCGACAGCAAGGTACAAGCATACTTCTAAAGGAGGGGAGTGACCCCGCTCATCCCCTCTGCGCGCTGATCCCCGCAGCCCTTCTCCTCCCAGCAGCCGTTATTCAGCCCTCAAGTGAACATCTCAGCCCTCAGAGGGAAGGGGAGAGGCGCTACGCGGGGACACTCCTACCCTCCCTCTCCCCTGCCGCTGTAGGAGAGGTTAACGGTCCGGCCTGCTAAGGATCCCGGGCGGATCCTCCTTCCCGCCCGGTGATGGGAGGTCTCCTCAGGCCGGGGGGAGACCAGAGCCGCCTGGGCGCCTCTGGGGGCGGCGCCGCCGCCTGTGGCCGCGGGGGGGCGCTGGCGGCCTCCGCCCGGTGCTACCGGTGTGCGTGTGCATGCAGCGGCAGTCCTGCTGCCGGCTCCGCGCGCAGCGGCCGGGCATGGAGGAGTTGCTGCTGCTGCTGTCGCTGTTCTGCCCGCGCCCAGCGGCTCCGGCGCCGCCTCCTCCTTTTTCGTCCTGAAGCGTGCCAGGAGTCGTGGATACCAGCGGGGAAGGGGCTATGGGCCACCTCTCTGAGGTTCGGCTGCTGTGAAGCGGCTGGCGCTCGCTCGGGAGCCCATAGGCGGGCCAGCCAGGCTGCTGCTGCTGCGCCTGGGAGGGAACGAGTGCCGCTTGCAGCCGGCGGCGGGCAGCACCTCGGTGTCGGTGACTTGGGGGTGCCCGTCCCCCCGCCCGCGCCGCCGCCGCGTCGGTGGATGGATGCGCCATGGCCACGCTGGTGTGCCGGGTGCAGCTGCTGGATGACACAGACCCCTTCAACAGCACCAACTTCCCCGAGCCCACCCGGCCTCCGCTGTACACGTTCCGGGAGGACATCCCGCTCGCCACACAGTTGGCCGGGGTGCACCGCCTCCTCCGCGCCCCGCAGAAGGTACCGCGGGAGGGGAGAGAAGGGGGGATGTGTGGGGGGCACCGGGCGAAGGGCAGCGGCTTAGCCGCGGGAGCCCGGCGGCGGTGGGGACGGGCCTCGGACCTTGCGCGGAGGCAGCCGGGGATGGCAGCCCGGCGGCGGTCTGCCCTGCCGGTCGCTGTGTCCCACTGGCTTCTGCCCCACCGGCGCTATCCCTCGGTCCGGCAGTATAAGTATTCTCCTAAGTCCCGGGGGGACGCCAAGGGGGGCTCCCACCGCTGCGCTTCTGCGTTCCCAAACGCCTTCAGGGGCAGCTACCACCTCTGGTTAGCTGTAGCTGCTGTACGGTTTTCCCCAGAAGAAAAAAACGCTCACCAAACCAAAGCCCTCGTTGTGTATTAAATGCTACGTGTCTGTCCCTCTGTAGCGATGTCTGAGTATCTGGGGATACTCAGGAATAACGTGTTGTTTGAGGACAGCCGAGCTGTGAGGACCACGGGTGTACAGACGGGATCCGAGCTCTGCTGTGATGAGATTTAATGAGCTCGGCAGCTACAGCAGCGTGTCTCCTGCCCTTGAAACAATTGGTGCTACTAGTGCCTCCTGCGAAGAACTGCAGCATGTTGCTGCCATGGCCCTTGACGAATCTTGCCTATCTCTTCTTGTATACTTTTTCTAATACATGTGCTGGCATCTGCAGTTCTGCCCTTGAAGTCAGGCACCCGGGCATGATCCTTGAATTTTCAGTTTTGAAAGCAGTGCCATTGATTGACATAATAATAATGTCCTTTCATTATTATCTTGCATCTGCACATTAGTTCTGCAGAGTGCACCAAAGAAAAAAGGGAAAATGTCCACTTAATTTTTCTTCCCAGAAGGAAACAAAGTTAAAGTTGTAAAACTTTTATTTGCTGTCTGATGAAGTGGGAAGAAAATACTCTCTTAACATCATTTGTTGTATTCTATCTTGCTCTTGGGAGCTTGTGGGAAGATGACAAAGAACTGTGTGTGCCCGTAGATTTAAGGATATCCAAACCCCCATAAAAGTATTTCAGAGAAAAGCTCTTGGAGCAGACAGAAGTTTTGCATTTGTAGAAGGGTTTCTTGCATAATAGTTGCCAAGGATACAGCATCCAGCGAACAGAGCTCTGCCTAGCGCACAAAACCTTTGGAAGCTCTTGGTGTGCTGGGTCAATTCTGTTTTCATGTGCTCAGTTGTCCCCAATTCAGAGACTAGTCCCATTGTTTTCAAGGGAGGCTTTTTTCTTTTTGGAGTCAGAGCTAATTAAAAGAAGGGCAGGAAGGATTCCGACGCCTAATGAAGTAAATAAAGAGATAGTTTAAAATCTGGATTTACAGTTAATTCAGCCTGATTTTCAAGGGTATTCCACTGTGCTTTATGTTTACTTTGCTTTGAATCCTGAACCACCCCCTACTACCCTTATCCCATTCCTTTCCCCATTTAGTGTCATAGGAGCCACCTACAATCCATGACCACTTCTATACATTTAACTCCTGCCCTGTATTTCAGTGTGCAGCGTGTTTATCAAGTTTGATTGTTTGGAAACTGGACAACCAAACAACTTTGGTTGAAAGATGGGCTGAGTATCTAGAGGTGCTGTAAACCTCGCTCTTGAGAGATAGCTACTCTGCTAAAGGCAAGTCCTGGTCCAGTGATTTAATCTGAGGATCTGATTCTTGCAAGCATTTTGTTTCTGCAGTTGTAATGATGTGGGCAGGCTCATTGGAATCTGCTTATATGGTTACAGTTACCTTTGTATTTGCAGAACCAGGGCCTCTTCCAGAGTGCCTTGATTGGCCTCTTGGCCTTCCCTTAGCTTCTAAAAAGGAGGAAGAAAAAAAAAAAAATCTTGATTAGACTTGTTTACCTTTACTAGTTACATTGAAAGCTCAGTTCTTTGTGTGCACTTGCAGTTACTTTCTATGTTTGGCATTACATCTTTGTGCATATGATTTTGTAGAGCTAATTAATTGTGTCGCTTTTTAAGCACAGGCTTTTTCCATTTTCTTTTTTTGGAGGTGGGTATATTCTTTCTGTAGCTTTTCCTCAAGAATGTATTCACCTGCTCTATAGAAGATTTTGCTCTATTTCTCCCAGAGATCAGTACAAACTTTGTGATCTCAGAGGAATACGGCTGTCAAAGCAGAGCATAGCTTGAAATTCAGGTGTCAGTTCAAGTTGACACATTTGGGTCTTCATTGTTTAATTACTATGAAAATTAGTGAGCTAATGGGTTGATGGTTCATTTAGTATCTTGATGGTGTCTAAAGCAAAATATCTTGGAGTAGATTTAAGAGTTTATAGCTTAAATACATAGTAATGCTGATGTCTGAATCATTCCTTAAATCTTGTGGCCTTTCTGCCAGCAAGTTCAAATGATCAGTGCTAGTTTTCTTTCATCAATTTTTAAGTTATCATCTTTTGGCTGGGATGAATACTCACTTATTCTCCGAACAGTGCTGCCAACTTGCTGCCTTCAAATCACTGGTATGTACATCTCCTCATAGACAATGTACTGCTGTGGGATGTACTTGAGAGAGTGAAGTTAGTAGCAGCTCACTTCAGTGGGTGTCAGATTTCACCATTACTGAGTTGAAATTTGTAGTGACAATGGTATTTTTGTAGTTAAAATAACTTGTGCATTGCAAGTCATTGTAAGTTAAATATTATAAACAATTCTTAAGAAAAACATTTAAAACTCAAAAGAAAAACGTTTTGATATCCTGACCTGTTGCTGTATGTTGTTGATAGCTTATTTTGTAACCAACAAATGTTATACCTTGACTGCAAAGTGTACCATTTGTTTAGCCCAGTTCTCTTGAAGTACAACTCTTGATTTCATATGTTGGGTTTACTACGTACTCTTTTAAAACATACAAGTATACTTAAATCTGGATGCAAGTCCAGATCTGAGAGTGTCTTCTGAGAGGCAGTGGTTTTAGATTCTTGTGGAGGAGCACAGTGAAGTTAGGTGATCGAGTTCCGTGAGCACTGGCCAGGATGGGCTTTACTGGCCTGAATGCAGCAAGCATTTGGGTGAGGTGGAGCACCTAAACCAGTTGATGGGGAAAACTGACAAGATAGATGTCTTCCATCCTTTTTCCATTTGGAATTAGACTAATTGCAACTTCTTCCTCCTCCTCACCTTCCCCTTCCCCCCCCCCCCCGACTTCTCTGTGTGCTATGTCCTGGGTTGCGCTCAGTTCTGTTCTGTGTGTGTGGCATGCACACAGACTGAACTGAGCCCCGTTTGCCCATGTCACTGCTGTGGGAAATGTTTAACTTCGATATCCCCCATGGGTTCAGGTTCCTTGGTGCTAGATGGTGCAATGCCATCTTAGTTGTTGATGCAATGAAGTACCATAAATTCTGTTATGAGACGTTTAGCCACATCTACAAATTCTTGCTGAGTAACTCATCTGCATTGTAGAACTTCTGCTAGTTGCTTATATTGATTTGACTGCCCGACGTGCCATTTTGGATTTAGTCTTTATTGCTTTGTTTCTGAGGGTTTTAGGGATCTCTTGCTGTTTGTTGTATGAACAAAAACTGGATCTAGTCTGGACTCTGAATTCAGATGTCCCTTTTGCCTATTTCTGTGAGCCTTGGGAAAAGAACTGAATCTAAATTTGTGGCTCAGGCCCAGTGCCAATAATGTGCTTTGAATCTAATTTGGTACGTTGGGTTTGTTGGTTTTGAATTGCTTTGAGTAACTTGATACTTATGACTTGCTGACACAGGGTCATTCAGGAGAGTGAATATATATATATATGTATGGTCGATGTCAAGTGGTATGCTTTTTTTAGAGATCATCTTCATTATAATTTATTCATATAATTACAGCATGCTGAGTATGTTGTCATACTATGTTTTCATATCCTACAGTACTATTCAGTGTTGGGCCAGTTCTGTAAGAAATACACATTTACAACAATATGGAAAATCACACTGTATAATTTATTGAGAAAATGTAATTGAAATACTTTGTGTAATAATGGAAAACAACAACAAAATCTCACAGTGTATACGGTGTACTGGTGGTCATGATGGAAAGGGAAGATACAGTGTGATAAGAATAGTTGTTTTGACCTCCTGTTCCCTCTGAGAAAACTGAAGACAACTTCCGTACTTAAATCTCTTCCAGGAATTTGTAATTAGAAACAGTGTCATTCAAGAAACAGTGATACAAGCAAATATCAAACAGTGAGAACTAGAGGGATTTGGGAGCTTCATTCATAAACCATCCAGATTTCCCTGTTCAGCTGCTGTGATTTAGCCCTAGATTAAAGCCAGGGCTGACTCTGGTCATGGTGTGATGAAAACTGATACCAGCAGCTGTGCCACTGGGTTGTGTCCTCACGTGTAGCTCAGCTCTGGCATTGAAGTCAGTGCCAGGCTATATACTGGCATCAACCTCAGGTTTTCTGAGAGCAGCAAATATACCAACTGACTTCTTTTCCCTGGGTTTCCTTGCAGCACAGTGGCATTACTAAATGCCTTGGTGCACAAAAGCTATGCAGAACAGAGGATGGTTTAGTTCCCGGTCCTTCTGAAAGTAGCGGTAAATAGAGCAGCTGTTTTCTGAAGTCATTTTTTAGTCATTGTGCTCTTCATGGGAGCTGAAGAACAGAAAATGGAAACTGGAATATCTTCATTGTCCCAGGGAAAATGAAGCCACAGACAGGGGAAATTGGCTTATGTCTTCTGAAAGTGTTGTTGCTGAGGACTGGGGAATATTTCAGTTGAGGGCTGTTAAGATGCCTAGGGCTTTCAAATGCTCCCTGAGGCAGGTGTGCATTGGCCATTTTTCATTCTTCAAGAGAAGAGGAGATTTAACACAATGGTTATTTCCAGCAGGTTTCTGAAGTGTTCTGGATCTGGTATTTCTGGAGCTGACAAAAGCGTATGCTTCAAGAGATTGGTGCTGTAGTGGCCTTGTGTGCTTGAATTTTCTAGAGAAGGGCAGGGGAGTAGGACCCAGCTCTGTCTTATGACTGGA